ACGAGCCTGTACCAGAATACAATGTTCCATACGTTACTGACTATTCCAAATAACATTCACAGTGGAGAAAAACTCTAACTCATTCCAAATTGTACAAGTTTCTGAGCTACCACTTGGGATAGGCTCATCCTTCCCCAGGGGTCAGACACAGATTTTCTAACCATTACCATATCCAAGCTCTACCTAAGTAAAAGGATTAGTACATGGTTACAACTTGTGGTACAGGACAGTACCATGTGTTAAGTATCCCCTTAGATTACATATATATATTTTTTTTAATTTCATTTTTTTCTAGGCCAGGCATGGCCAGGTGTTAGGGCGCTCGACTCGCAATCTACGGGTCGCGGGTTCGAATCCCCGTCACACCAAACATGCTCGCCCTTTCAGCCGTGGTGGCGTTATAATGTGACGGCCAATTCCACTATTCGTTGGTAAAATAGTAGCCCAAGAGCTGCCTTCCCTCTAGTCTCACACTGCTAGCGCAGATAGCCCTCGTGTAGCTTTACGCGAAATTCGAAACAAACAAATAATTTTTTTCTTTTAATTTAGTTTTGATGCAAATAGTCACTCAAGTTTTTCCTTACTCCAGTGCGCATAGGACTCTGATCTACTAATTGTTGCCATTGAGAGCTGTTACTTCACTTGTGATTGTCTTTTCTGTTGGCAAATTGGGTAATAGTACGGGAACTCCATGCTCCTGTGCTGGAACACGCATGTGAAAAGTGCAGTGTATGAGCATCTTGGCTTTGTTTGTATTATTGTTTATAGTATATAAAGCTTGACCCTCTCCTGATTTTTGTACAGATGAATATTCTGTAAGACTTTAGAAAAGTTTTAACTTGGCACTTTTGATCATGTGTCAATTTTACTTATCTTTCACTTTTTTCCTTGTTTCTCTCCAACTTTATTTTTTATTTTAGCTTACAGGGAGGGCTCACGATGCACTAGTAAGAGAAATAGATATATTAAAGGTTTTTCCACAATTCTGTTACCAATTCAACACACAACAAACACTTGCCTTTATTTTGTGACTATGCATTGCTTGTCTCCAATCATATTTTGTTACATAAAGATTCTTGTTCTGTACTTTCTGTGTATTATTTCTTTTTATTTTCGCAAAGTTAGCGTTCAAAGAGAGACAGAGACCGATATTCTGTAACGTGAGATTCTTTATACATCTAGTTAGCGGTCCCTAAAGTGACGACTTTGCGAGAAATTCATGCACAGGGGAAGCCTTAAACTTTCCGATTTTCACTTCACTGGAATGTTTGAAGTGCATGTATGAGGACACTTTTAAAGTTTAAAGGTTTATTTGAATATGTCTATCTGACGATATATATTCTAAACTATAATATTTCAATCTTACACAATAAAAAACTGATAACGTTATAGTCTAAAAGTTTCTCTTTAATAATGATTTTTTAACGAATGTAGTGCGGCGAACGAAGTGAGATAACACGTATAAAATAAATTCAATACCTCATATCCAATCCAAAAATTTTCGTTCAGAAAGTGTTCCTCCTTTATCTTGATCGGCGTTGCATTTCATTTTCATTAAAGTACTTTCTAGATTTTTCAGTGTGCTCAATAATTTATTTTATTGCAATTATTCTATATAGGATGTACCTTAAAAAACACAATAGTTAAAATAGATGTAGGTACAGTGGTTTTCCTCACGCACGTTATACCTCAGAATGCTTTTATGTAACTGTCGTTTGTGTTTGTTATCTAGACCAGTGGTACTGAAATTTTACAAAGCCATGGAATCCACCTATGCTTAAAATTTATATACGTATAAATATTTCTTATTTTGTTTGCTTGTATGGATATCAACTGGCTCGTGATTTTTCAAAATATATTCGGTCCCTGCGGGTTAAAATTCAACACTGAAAAAAAAAAAATTGCTATTATCTGTTATCTTTGTGGGGGACCTCCTGATCATGGGTGTCCGGAGGGGGGGGGGACACCTGCTCTCGTGGAAAATGAGAAACATTTATTTAGTCATTCAGTATATATATATATATATATATATATGTGTGTGTGTGTGTGTATACTGAATGAATGCCACAGACTATCCTTTGTAGAATCCCAGGGTTTCACTAAACACAGTTTAGCAACCACTGACTAGCAAGCCAAACCTCACGCAAGAAGAAAATCCATGCATACTCAACCATAACCATAGCCCACCTTTAGGGAACAACCTTCCTGTATCCTTACTCATTGATTTCGGTCCCACACGCTTATACCCAACGATCCTACACTACTTGAAGTCTTCTACCTCTTTGACTCAACTACCATGATTGTAGCGAAGATGACGATTACGATCGTGCCTTTCCAAGCTTACAACTTCCCGACCGCAACTATCTTCTGAGACACTAACCTTCGTCTCCTCAACCATTGACTTTCTTTTACGTTCAGGCCTTATCTTGGGCACGGTCCAGGCATACTTTTTCGGCGCCTGGACCATGAAAGTGGGTTTTTTCGAGGCACTTCCGTTTCCCTCCACAGCCAAATTCTCCAGCTTTGGATTTATAGATCCCTACCCGCCCTGAAGGACCGACCTTATGTCCCACAGGGGCCGTTTGGTTTGTGAATTCTGGATCTCCCTTATTCAAGGCTCTCTATTCTCCTCTTGACTGATTGAAGCAGCTTCAGATCTGCCATCTCAACACAATATTCTTGAAGGTATTGCTATGGGCAATAATATTGCTGTCGTTGTGGCCTCTATTTTTATGCATTTCTTTAAACCATCATCTCTAGCTCAGTGGAATTTTCAAACTAATCTTGAACCAACTAGATGGTATTGACAATGTGTTCGGTATATGAACTCCTTTCTCTTTTGGAATTGGTTGAATTCCTTAATAATCAACACTGACATAATGCTCACATTTAATCTTGCCGATAATGTCCAGAAATCTATACTCTTTCTTGAAACCATGGTCACTATCCTGAACAGCAAACTTGTTACTTCGGTATATTCTAAACCACATGTTAATTAAACCTATTATTCTACATTATAACTCACACCAGCTACCAAACGAAGTGTCATTATCGGTCAACTTAATAAAATTGAGAAAATCTGCAACACCATGGGCGGTAAAACGCAAGCCAGGATCAAACTTCAAAAGCTACTGTTGTCCAATGGCTACCAAGAAATTTCACAATTTTGACTCACAAGGTATTAACAAATGACATCAAAAACTGAAACTACCAAATCAAGACACTGTTTCCTGGATTATGCCTTTCGTGAATGACCCTCTAACTACTCACCTTCGTCAAGCGATTAGAAGATCTGGTTTGAATATCAAAATCATACAAAAACCTGGTAGAAAACTGAACGCTATACTTACTCGTTCAGCCTTTAATAACGACAATACATGTAAATCCAAAAAAGTGTTTTGCAAAGACGAATGGCTTAGAGAAGTCCTGCACACTTAAAAACACTGTCCAGGTGAAGCCAGTCATTCAATACACGATCGTTTCAAATAACACATTCGTGCCACTGGAAATCTTGACAACAAAAAAGCTACTACTGAACATTACTTAAAAGAACATGGCACAATCAATATGACACTTTATACAATCAAAATGTTATAAACTTGTGAAAATGTTCTCGACAGAAAATATAAGGAATCACTTTTGATTCAATCCAGACGCCCTTCCATTAATAGGTACAATGCCTGGCCCCTTTAACATTTTATTATTATTATTAATAATTTTATCATTGAGGATTTTCTCTGTTTTTATGTTATTATTATCATTTTTATTATCAACAACTCAAAATTGTTCGATTACACTTGTATCACGTACACTTTTCCATTATATTGTTGTAGCTGTATTTTGTTTTCGGTTATCATAATTTAAAATCGGTTTGGTAACCTGTGACGTTTATAAACCTCCGGTACAAGTAATTAAACATTTTTTTTTTGAAGTTGTTTATTATCATCATTAAATAATGTTTCTATCCTTCAGTCAGCACTGAAAATGTTCAAAAATTGTAATAAATTCTGTTTAATCTGGTATGATATACTAATATATTACTTAGACTGTGACAATGGTACTATTTTCTCGGTGAGAAAAATCTTTCTTTTAGTTAATGTAGTAAATCGAAATTTTATAGACAGTTAAGAAGTTCTCATAGTATAGAAAAAAACAAATAGTATATTTAAATTTTTGTATCGGTATTTACATAACGTAGTGTTTTCCAAACTTTAAATAGCGGCACCCTCTCCCCCATACACACACACATTAAAATAATTTCGCAAGTAATAACAGTAGAATGAACATTTTCTTTAGATGTTTTTAATATTATTTTGAAATAAAAAAAGCTTGTAAGGAGTTTGTAAATGCGAGAACAAAACAAAAGCTTTGAAATCAAAGTGATAATTTTGTTATGTTATCGTTGTATCCAACTCTTCTGTTTCTTCCGTCGTTATTTTTGGGCTCTCTTGCCAAACCCCTCCCTCACCACTAGTTCGATCCTCCCCAGAGGAACGCGCATCACAATTTGGAAAACACTGACATAATAGTGACGGCATACTACTGCAGAATATCATGCAATATATTTCATTACTCATACTCTTTTTACAAGCCAAATGCTGATAATTTCGTATGTTCTTTATATCAAATTTCAACTCGTTTCGTAAAAAAATGCTTTACCTTGACGAATGGCAAGTAGATAAAGTGAAAATTAAACATTTTTTTTAACTGTCTGGTTTAGGTTGTTCCCCCCTCACTAGGTGCTCTATATTTTAATTGTATCGAACTGAAAATAGTAGTAGTGTTTTACTACACTGTTTTAATTACAAATATGTAGTTTAATCAAATTGTAATGTTATATATGTGAATATATGCTAATTTGTCAGATAAATTGAAAGAAATCAAAATCGTTTACAAAGTAACAAATAATAATAATAAAAGTCATATTTTAGCCCAATGGTTCCTATTTTTTTTATACTGCGGGACTCAGTCAGACCTTTGAAATTGAGCCAGCGGTTTACTCCTGACACATATAATTTGTTAAAAAAGATTAATAGTGGTTTGTATTAATAAAAAGGTAAATCCAAAGAAATTATTCAAGGGTTAATGAACAGTACGCGAACGTTGAGTTCTGGCTAGTGAAATGCTGTAGTAATTTACCGAAACTAGCCTCCACTTTTGTATTTAGTCGTACTCGTAAGGTTTAACTTTAAGTTTTTATTATTTTTCAAAGTTTCTTGCGTACTACAAGTGGAGCGCGTACCACAGGTTGGAAACCTAAGCTAAAGTAATAATTATTACTACTAGTACGAATATTAATACAGAAGCATTATAAACTATGGTATAAAGTTACAACCTATCGAACCTATATTTATATATTTGGAAGAAAAAAGTACCGGACCTTAGCCTAGGGTAAGTTATACAACATTCTAATTTTAAAGCATGTCATGGTCGCATGTTAATTTTATTTTTAATTTTATACCGACCCTTGATTAAGTAGTAGTAGTAGTGCTACTAGTAGTAATTTATGGTACAATACGAATTTAACAGAGATGTTTTAAGCTTCTTTAGAGATAACACGAAGTTCTGTTATTGTTAAATATACAAGTGCCGGTATATAGGCCTAACTAGGCCTAGAGTAGACCTAACATTAACATAACAATACATCTGTTCCCAACTCGTAGTTTCATTTAAGTTTTAATAATAACAAATAATACAAAGTAAAGGCTAAACTAGACCATCTTCTACTGTGTGTGCTAGTAATAGTACTGCAGTCTTATCTTTGTTTTAAAAAGTAGATAAAGATAAGACTTGTAATTGTATATCCTGGAACCGTCAGTCTAGGATACCGTTAACAACATGTGATGTTACCTGTAAAAGCCTAACAATCACATATTCTACTTAAACTTTTAAATTATTTGTAATAGTGAAGTTCAGGCTACTTTGTTGGCCTATCTGACAGAATGAATAAATCATTCTGTCCTATTGTCTTTAATCTTGTGGGTCTCACTAATTAGCACTGAGAAGTTTCAAGACAATTATTTTTTGTAAAAAGTCAGTTACAATTTATATGAGAAAGTAGTACTAGTAGCTTTAAAACAATCAGATTTATGAAAAACTGAAATACTTGACATACTTAAGGATATGAAGCTGTAGCAAAGCAAAGTTCAATAATTGTATTTGTCCAACTAAATGCTATCAGGAGTTGTTAAAGAAACATCAAAAATGTTCAATTACAAAAGCAACAGCCCATTGGGCTTTTTTTTTTTTGTCTTTGAATACTTCATGTCCATTATGGAAAGAATACTGATGTTTAAATAGAGTTGGAACTAATGTTATTTGCTAATCAATTAATTTACAGTTTCATTAATTGATTACATTCAATTAATTAATTGATAGTGTTCCTCAAATTGTGGTACTTACAAGTTGAAAAATATTGATGATGGGTACTTGGCCAGTTCCTTTTCCCTCTAGTTAGCTATTCACTACCAACAACAATAAAAAGAACAACCGTTGTGCTCCCGTTTATTAGTTGTTTTTTTTTAAGTATTATCTATCAGTGATTTCCCACATTTTAACAACATTGCTTTGTTCTAACAACAACCAATTAAACTTTTTGTAGTTCAATTGGTCTCGGAACACTGCTATGAACCAGTGGTCTTACGGTCAAAAACCAGTCACACCATGCTTGCTTGTCAACCACATGTATTTGAGATCATTGTAAGTTGCTAAGAAGGGTCTCGTGCTTCATTGTTGGTTTGAGAGTCAGTTGTCTGATTCTTAAATTGAACTCTGGTTATTTCATGAATTGCTAAGTCCATTCAGGTCTCTTACAGCAGTGAAGTTAATAATTGTCAAGCTTATATTGTCTAGACTCGACATATAATGAGAACTATTACATTCATTTAAAACTTGGAAGAATGAAAATAAATTATTTTAAGTTAATAAAACAAACAAAGAAATGTGCTAAAGGCCCATTGACTAGGTATTTAAATATTAGAATGACATGAATTTGGTTGTTTTTAATTTGTCTTCATGTACTGATCTATCTCTACCACATTTGTACAGTATATTGTACAGGGTGTCCTAAATGTATATTCCCATAGTCTGAATGACAATACACATTTATAGGATATACTCAAAATTAATCCAGTCCTGAAGGCATTAAAATACAGTCCAGTTCCACATATTCAGCAGTGCTCAAAATTCACAAAGGAACAAGAAAATCAACAATATTCAGTAATTTCCTCAGTGTTACAAAGCCAACTAACTTTTCACGTGTGTATATATACCATGTATGGCCGTTTACTAAATATTCCACTTCAACAGAATTAATTCCAACTGGCATCAGCATAGACTTGGTACATAAAAAGCTATATCTGATACTCGTGAGTTTACCAAAAATATCATAAAAGGATTTTTGTTATTGACTGTTACTAAATGACTGATAATATAAGGATTGTGTGTAAGGCATACTTGTTAACTATTTCAACAAGTGGATATTAACCTATGAATGGTGGTAAATTTTTTAAACACAACAGCAAAGAACCTTGTATTGTAATGTTGTTGTTTTTATTCCATTTTAAATACACGTACCTAATGGAGTAATTGTGCAGGGCTTTTATATGTATGTATTTCTAAAGTATCTTCTCCTTATGTCCAATTTTGTTTCATTGCTGTATTGTTACTAGTTACAAAACATGATTTAAATAACAGTATTAAATATGATGTATTTAAGTATCTGTGGTCTTTTGTTTTACTCTGTCATTTTTTTAAATGTATTCCAGTTCTTGTAACTCTGGGATACCGCCACATAATTCTAAGTGAAAGTGTTTGGTGAGAAAAGAGCATACGCCGTGTGACACGTCTCTACGATAAAGAAATGTGCCTATGTGAAACTCATTGTTAAAGAATACATTGTTTGATCACTGCATTGCTTGTTTAACATTTACTGCAAACAGATTTAAACAGTAAGTGTCTAAAATAAATATGCAAAAGAATTTTGTAAGAATGAGCATTTTATCCAGCTTAAAATAGGACTAAAAATTAGCTTTACTTTTAAAGTGGCCTTACAATTTGTTCAAAGATTTTTCACCAATGTATACAATCGGGTAATATGTTTGCCCTTTAAATTCACTAAAATTTCCATCAGTAAAATCAAACATGAAAGTTAATGATCTATGTCATATGAATAAGGTTTTCTTAATATATTAGATATATGTGTGTTAGTTTGCTTTCAGAAAATCCATTATTATAGTTTTTATTTCAATCTAAAAGTCAACATTTTTTAGAGAGACTGTTCATTTTAGGCATTAGGGGAATATTTTGAAATGTTTCCTCTTAGTTTCATTTGTTCTTTTAGAGTCATTGATCATTTTCAAAATGATTTTTCAAGTACTGGGAAATAATGGGACAGATCAAAAAAAGGTTTTTGGTTGTTCAATACCTTCAGCAGGCCAGTAGCCTGGTTTTAAAATCTGTATAAAGCTCCACAAATGTGCCTTTAAACTATTAACATACAGCTTGTACATGTATAAGTATTTTCATAAATTTTTGTTCCTGAATTGGTGTGAAAATAATTGTTTGGTTTTGTGAACATGCAATTTTTTGGAAATATAGCAAAGTTTTTTTATTTTGTATAAGAAATATGAAATGTCTGTTGTATTGTGAATATTGGAATAAAAATGTATCGAGAAGCTCAAATTTCTTGAAATTTATAGCCAACTCTGTAAAAGTTTATTTTAATCGTGGGTATTTTAGTGTATGTCTATAATTATAATTAATAAAAGCAGGTTAAGTGGCACGTTAGTTGTGTCATGAAGTAAAATAAAAGTTCAATATTTCAGTACAACATCATCTTCATTAGTCTAATCATAAAAAGTTTTGTTTATGTCCTGAATACAAATTATTGGCAACTTGCCTTCTTTAAAACTTTACTAAACAAATAATACCCACTTTAGCAATGTAAATTTTTGTTCTAAATTAGGTATATGTTTGTGATGGTAAAGGGTTGAGCTTTCTCTTCATTCTTTTACTCTTCTATCTCGTTAAATGTTTTGACACATGTGCTTCATATTGATATGTTGTTGGTAATCAGAGTTTGAGTGGTATCCCCTTTTAATAAAAAAATGTTGTTGGGTTGTATTATTTGCAAGTTTCTCACTTCGTATATTAATACACACGTATATTTACAAGATGTTATTGATGATTCTTCTTCTGTCTTATTGGTTTGAACAGATTCTTCAAGAGCTGAAAAATCATCATTATCTGACAGACCTAGATGTTTATATTGTGGTAAACCATTTTTCAGTAAACAGACGTTGGAACGCCATATGGAGCAACACAAAATAAGTAGGAAACGTTATCGCTGCAACATATGTTCAAAAGATTACTCTTGTGTCACTGCATGGTATCACCACAGGAAAACTCATGAAGAATTATGTATGTTTAAATGTCAGCTCTGTACAAAGAGCTTCATGCTAGAAACAGCTTTTAAAAAACATTATATGAAGAAGCATGGAAATTACATGGTTTAGTCAAGACAACAATATTCAACTAGGGAAACCATGTGTGAAAACAGACAGTATTTTTAAAACTGGATGAATGTACCAGTGTTTATCCTGCTGATTACGACACATTGTTACTTGTAATTGTTGTTCATTATAAAGTGGCTATTATTGAAATATTTATATAATTTTTTTTTCTTTTAAGTATAACTAATAAGTAACAATTATTAAACAAAACTATAACATTCAGTTAGTTAAAACTAGTCCTGTCATTTACTTTTACATACACTTGTAAAACAAATTCATAAATATTGTAAAGTTAAAAAAAGAAAACAAATTCACTAATTACTTTGATAACTATGTTATAATGTGATGACATTACTGACTAAGAGTCTGGTTGAAAAGCCTATAAAGGTCTTGTGTTTTAATCATTAATTTATAATGTATCCAGAACTTTTGGTGCAGTTTGTAATAAACTGTTTTGGAGGAGCTTCTGATAATTTACAATTTAAAAATAAACTTGACTTTAATGTAAAATTGTACATGTAAAGAGACAATGGTGTAAAATATTTGTATCATATTATTTATTTAATCAGTTTTTCTCATTAGTGTGTGCCGAGAAGTTTGTAGCTTCCGATTTGTTAAAATATTGATGGAATAAAATGAAAAGACATGTATTATTACATGATGAAACTCATTTGAGACACTTGTAAAATTTAAAACAAATATGACAAGCAGTTGAGAAAGTTATATAAAATGACATGTTTAGGTCCTGTGGTACATCATTTAGAATGTTATTAATTATTATATCTTGTGTGAGCTGTATCTACGATTAAGAATTTTAGAGTTCATAAAGATGAAATGAAAACATTACATGATACATGTTTGTTTATAAAGTGATAACTTTACAGGTCAAATTAATGTCAACATTTAACCTTTAGTGATGCATATTTGTTTGTAAGGTAACAACCTGTCTTCGCAGATCAAATGACTTTCATATCTCGTACTGTAATTGGTGTGGAAATGTTTTGACTTTACTACGACTGTGTAAACGTGTGTAAGAAAATTAGAAATCAATCGTGTCGGAAAAGTTTCAGTGATATATTGGGCAAAATATTTACTTTTATTTGTACATTTTTTGGAAGTAATATTCCTTTCTATATTATATGCAAATTTTTAAATGTAAAGTTGTAGGGTATCAAACAAATTGATGCAAAAGTAAATATTTAAAAGCACTTGTTTCGGTTAGCATTTTTAAAATATGTATAGAATAACAGTAAACTTACTTCATCTATAATCATGCTAAGCTTTCTTTTTTATCCATTTTGTAAAATGAACTGTACATTAAAAAATAACTGTTTTAGTAGTTTTTGACTACTGTTTTTTCAACATATACCTGTAATTAGTCTGAATAAGAATGTGTTAGTATATATATATTCAATAAAGTATTAAAATACTTTTTTTTAATATATATGTCTTTAAGTGACATAATACAAATGCCACTGTACATGTATGTGATTGAATGTATCACTATTAGGAATAAAATAAGAGCCATTGTACATTTTGTGTGTAACTTGCTCAGATGTTTTGTGGTCATCTGTAGTGGTTTGTCACTCTTTCTACCTCCTTATTTTGTCTTCACCGATACCATCAAATTTCACTCGTTATGTGACAGTCAGTTCGGTAAATGTATTAATATTGAAATGGATCTGATAATGTTTTTAATTTTTATCACTGTCATTCAGTTGTTTATATGTTGACTATCAATGAAGCATGAATGTAATAAAAGGAGTTGGTGATCATAATGTTTTTTTTTTATCTTTTCAGAGATTTTAAAAAGGAATGAGAAGCTAAGAAAACTGTCATTATGCAGCAAGACTGATGGAGAATTTGTTTGTCTATATTGCACCAAGACTTTTACGAGAAAGGACTGTTTAACTCAACATATGCGTGTCCATTCTATGAATCTGCTGTCGTGTAATTACTGTGATGCGACATTTCGCTGGCGACATCAGAGACTTAAACACGTACGCACTTACCACAGTGACCAGAATGAAGTAATGTCTCATCTGTAAAACTGTATGGAGCAAGAACAAAGAAAAGGAATTGTTTATGTGATGAACTCTTCAACAAAACCACATTTACATACGTTTTTTTTTTTCTTCCCACATTTGCTTTTATAAATTCAGAAATAACCATAGATTAATAAGCTCATCTGGGTGTAATATAACATCTATGGCATAGTTATTCATTTGATAATTTGAATTAACCGCAAGTAGGTATGAAATATAATTTCTTTCGTTAAGCTTTTTAAGTTTCACAGGATTAAAACAGATTTTCATGTTTTATTACACTGAAAGTTAATAAGAATCCCACAGATATTCTTGTGAAACATTAAAATAAGCATTATAACACACATACTCAACAACTGCAAGAGTTAATATTAAAAACATGGAACCAGTGTTAATAAAAACATTAACTATAGTCATTGCAGTTGATCCCTGTAAATGTAGGCCTCGATAAACTGTTGTTGTTAACAGTTAGGTATTATTATTATAGAATGGTTCAGCAAGACAATGAAAACAACACATAATAATAATAATAAAACTGCTTCTTTGTTTTTCCAGTTATTGTATTGTTTGCGTATATAAATGTATGTTGTATCTAATATGATAAAATGGTTCCTTAATTCGTGAAGCAAGCTTTAGTATTCTAACTTAATTTGACGTCTGACAAATTAAACTACTGTGATTTTAAACATTGGCACCTCAATTGTTTTATTTTGAAATTTCATGGAAATTTCACCGAAACAACTCTTAAAATAAAGAACACTTTTGATGGTGTTTAATAATTTTCAGCATTCTTGTTAAGTCAGAAGCTAAGGTTTAAAAAAAACAAAAACAACATTCATGTACCCAAGGCAAACTAAGGAACAAATCTTGCTCCATTCTAACCTAAAATGAATGTTGCATTTTACTCCTGAATAAGGAACAGTTCTTTAAATACATAACAGGTGGTGCTCTAGGTGTTGCATTTTTCTTATTGGTTCTGTGTCAGATCCTTGATGAATAATATTATTACTTAAATTTTAAAGTTACAAAATATTAACTTGTATATGCCAAATACTGCAATATAAGTGGATTGAGAAAATTCATTTTATTGAAATATTTGTTTGTCAAGCAGTTGCTTTTTCTTGAACTTTAAATCTTCAGGAAGAGTGACTGCTTGAAAGATCTGTTGAATATTTTAAATGGTGAATTTTTTAACCCATTTCCTCTGCCATTATGTAGTTACTGATATTGTTAAAAACAAAACACGGGTGTTTCAAATTTGTTTTATAATTGTTTATATTTTTTTTCAATCTACATATTACAACTTTTAATTCTGTTTTTAGTTTACAGACATTAGCTATCGTCTTATTTCTAGCCACAAAAGCTTACTTTGAAATAGCAATTTTATAGAATAGTGTTTCTAATAAATTTCTAAAATGTTTCCAAAATAAAATGGTAGGAGTTTTATCTACAGATTGATCAATCGATTGTCCAAAAGCAAAGTTAATAAAATAATCCCAAAGCACTTCTCGGGATTTAAAAAACAAATTTATACACTTCTGCTTTATAAAAGTTTATAGGTTTCATACTTTTGAATCTTACAGTACCATTAACAAAAATGGTTGCTATAAAGCCGAACTAATCAGTTTTTTTCTGAAGATGCGAAATTTAATTAGTTCTGATGTCATAGCAAGAAAGTGCTGTCAGATGTATGTATAGGTTTGGATAAAATACCGTCAAAATAGAAAAAAGTTAAGCAGTTCTTGTTAAAGTGAATTTAAGAATAAAGAAAGTTTTAAAAGGCACACACCTGATGAAGCATTGTATGCATTTTTAAACTACATTGTTTTTATGTATTCATAGAAGTTTTTAGGTTTTATTGTTTGTGTAAGTTCCTAATATATAAAATTGAATAAAGTGTTTTTACACGAGCCAATTGTTTTTTTGGTATACTTATATTTTATAATAATTCAGTTTTGTAAGTAATTGTTAAGCTAGTCGTCGACAGTTGTAGGTGAAAGTTATGGTTCTTTAAAGTATCTTTTGTAGGCATTTATTGATAAATACGAGTGTGCTTTCAGTGTTCTTGATTAAAATAATTCCGAAGCGGCTTTTATATACATTAGATAAGTAAGGGATTTCAATACATTTAAAACTTTATTAAATTGTTGTCTCTCAGCTTTGTGGAAGAAAATGTGTAATCCAGTGAGTGATACAGTATCAAAATACCCAATTGTAAAGCTACAAACAAGCAGTATATTCTCTCTCATTGTATATGTACATATTAGATTGGTTTCATATTTTCAGCTGAAGTATATTATAATGATTCTACAGAAATAATCATTACATTTTTTTATTTTTTTTTATTTCTGTAGGAGAATTCAGAAGTGAAGATGCACTTGTTCAGTCAGTTTGTCCAGTATGCTACAAACATTTCAATTCGTACGAGTCTTGCAGAGTACACTTTCATTACCAGCACAAAAGTCACAGAAAATTTACTTGCAATGTCTGTGGAAAAGTGTTCACTAGAAACCATGCGATGTTACGGCATTTTCGATTGAAACACCAGTGACTGACTTAAATGTGCCGAAGAACATCGGTAGTCTGCATCGATTGTGTGAAGTATTGACTTCAACAAAATATATTGAGAATTTGTATTTCATTTGATACTTCCAATTATTTGTGTAAAATATACTCGTGTTTAGTTCATACGTATTACAGAATCTCCTTGTCATTCTCTATATTTATTTTTAAAATCCCACATGCAGCTCATCTTTCTCAGTCTTGGTATGATTGCATGTTCGATTGGTACGGTCCAACACCACATCTGGTTACCATGGTGATAGAACATTGTGTTAGCCTTAGTATGACTGAA